AAAACAACAGCAACTTGTCTGTTCCCCTTCCCCCAATTCCCCAGCACTGTTCCCATCCCCCCAATTCCCCAATAAAAATCTTTAAAAAAAAAATTGGACTTGCTTGTAAAGTTTTATTCAACTTGAGTATCTAATTATTTGGAATTTGTCCAAATCTGTGCATTTTATCATTTAAGACATTATAAAGGAAGGGGACTTTCATCACGCTGAATCTAAAGATGGTTTTAGAAATATTCTTGTGTGAGGTGGCTGATTCTGTGCCTTTTGATTGATAATTCATTCCTGTATATGATGAATCTCAGTTCTTAGTAATGAGTTCGCTCTTGCTTAGGTAAATGAAGAAGAGGAAAACCGAGATACAGAAAACATTTTTAAAGGGTACCGCCCTGGTAAACTCAAACTCAGTTTTGAAGAGATAGAAAGACAAAGGAGAGAAGATGAAAAACGGAAAGCAGAAGAAGAAGCCAGAAGGAGAATAGAGGAAGAAAAGAAGGCATTTGCTGAAGCAAGGAAAAGCATGGTAAGATAGAACTGGAAAACAGGAGAATGCAGTTAGGATTCAGCTTTTCAGAGCATGTTAAGAGAAATCATTCAACTTTGGGGAATACCTCATTATTTCTGAAAGCTGTGCCAAGAGTAGGGATGGCGAGTACGTTTTAAAGTCTCCTATGGTGTAACACCAGACAGCTAAAGGTGTCTGCTTCAATGTAGTGTTGAGAAGGTTCTGATTAAATTACTATGCCTGGCATAGCGGGTTGAATATTATCTTCCTTCTCTGGGAAGGCATGTTTTCCAGAACTAAGTATCTAAACATGGAGTTTCCTACCCCACCTTTCCTTCCCTTCTCTCCATTCTCATCTCCTGTCCCACATTTCCTTTCCTTTTTTCTCTCTTTTCAATTTCCATCCTTTCTAGTGTATATTAAATGACCAAAGCCATTTATTCACAGTTCTTTAACTCCAAAATGCTCACAAATCACTTCTGGATATTGTCACCAAACTTAACTCTCACAAAGTTATACTTCTTATACCATTTTAATGTTTGTAAAATGTATAGTTTTGACAAACTTTATTTTCAAGCAAGTTGATGAACACTGCATCCCCTTCTTTTTTCTTTTTAGCTGAGCCATCCTGCCACCTGTTGGTAGCTCAGCGGCTGCTCAGCTCGGGCTGGGACTCAAACCACTGTTGCTCAGAGCTTGCACTCTTGAGCGAGCTCTTAACCAACTGAGCCACTCGGCCAGCCCCATTTTATGTATTCTTATAGCATTTAGTACTCCCCCAGCATAACACTAATGCTGTATTGTTGTTGCTTATTTCTGTCTTTCTCACTCTGTGAGGCTGAAACCATTCATCAAGCATGTAGAATAAACAATGCATCTATCATAACAAACTTCCTATGTTTGTGGAGTGATATTAAAACTCTCTTATGTGCTCTCTAAGGTAATCCTTGCTTCACAGTTTCTACACAAAAAACCCTACAAACATTGTGAAAGCACTTAATTTGGGGAGAATAAGCAGGTTCAGAAGTGGTAAATGAGAAATAGCAGTGAAGATTAGGAGATCTAATCTTGGGGGGCATAGTTTTAGGCCAAAACTGTCTTTTTACCATGATTCACTTGTGGGACAATTGCAGGGATGGAAAACTGTATTAAACCAAGCCTAGTTTTCTAGGGACATATCTGTATCAGGAGAGAAGAAAGGTTTCCCTTTATATTGTTTTCTTATCCAGGGCCAAGTATCATAACTTCATATTACAGCTAATTCACATGTTAATAAAAAATCTGTTTGTCAATCTTTGGATTGTAAGACCATATAGACATTATTTCTGAGTTTAACTGGTTCTGTGGTAAAGCCTGCATATATAAATCTTGGAACAATTAATTACCCTTTGCCTCTCTTATTCTGCTACGTCTATTTCAGACACAGGGTCATAATTCAAGCCAGGGATTTAGGTATATATTTTCAGAAGATAGGAAAAGTAGGTAATTGCTTTTCATTGTAAAATGTATTCCAAGTCAATGATTTAAAAGCAAAGTTTCTCACTGAAAGTTAGAGATTGCCTATATACAGGTAATGATAATGTAATAAAAAAAATCTGCCATTTGGGAGCTTACCATCGTGTCAGGCACACTGCTTAATGTTTCCAAATGTTGTTTAATTCTCATGACAACTCCATGAAAGTTGTTGCAGGCATGGGGCCTGCTCCGAACTCTTTGGAGTGTACTTTCTTTTCTGATAATGGCCCTTGAGCCATTCTCTACTATGTTTGGGCCTGCTTCTGTTTCTTTGAAATGTATTTTCTCTTCTAATAAACTCCTTTACTGCAACTTACAAAAAAAAAGAAAGTTGTTGCAGGTAAGGAAACTCAGACTTAGGCTAAATAACTTGCCCAAGGTCACATCTAAATGGCAGTTAGATGTGGAATTCACGAAATTACAAAAAAATAGTCCAAATCATTATTTATAACTTTATTAGAAAGACTTTAAAGTTTTGAATCCCACCTTTGCCACTTAGTTATTTGTGTAACTTTGGACAAGTTACTCTTCAGTGCCTAAGTTTCTAAAAAATGGAGATGCTAATAATTCCTACTTTGTAGGGTTAGAGGATAAAGTAAATCAATACATGGAAAGTGCTTATAATTGTATCTGGCAGCTCTAAGTATTAACTATTACTATTTATTTTATAATTAGCCGGACAGTAAATAAATCAGTACAATAAAATCATAGCATTGAGTGATTTTTGCCTGATTATGAAGGGATCATGATGGGTCTCTAATTCATTCAGACAAAACCATGATTGAACTGAAATGCTCTATTTTAATTACCAGATTGAAGATTCATTTTAATACAATTAAAAAGTATTCAATATTAGAAAATATTAATGTCTAATTCAAATTACTGATAGTCTGAAGTCTAAGTATTTCTGTTTATTAGAATGGAGAATAGTCACTAATTCCTGTGTAAGCACAAAATACCTTAGGTCTTACATTTTCTAATAATTCCTCCCTTGTTTATTGTTTTATACTGTTGAAGAGAATTTAGGTCTCTTAGTTTTTAGTTCAGTGTGAAACTTTTCTTTCTACTCAAGTAATCACAGTTTCTATAAGAAATAGTCCTTTATATAATTTGGGCAAAATATAATTCTGGCAAGAATGATAAAAGAATTATTTTAAATAGGTAGTAGATGATGACTCCCCAGAGATGTATAAAGCAATCTCTCAAGAATCTCTTACACCGGGAAAACTGGAAATTAATTTTGAAGAATTATTAAAACAAAAAATGGAAGAAGAAAAACGACGAACAGAGGAGGAGCGGAAGCATAAGCTAGAAATGGAAAAACAGGAATTTGAACAACTGAGACAAGAAATGGGAGAGGTAAGATTTTAAGAAATAACCATTTATATTCCACAAATATTTATTGATCAAAGTATTTTACATGTATTACCTTACAGTAACTTTCTTAGCATTATTATTCACATAAAGGACACGCAACATTCTAACTTGGTACAAGTTTCAGCACAGTTATGTGCACTTTCTAGCCTGCCGTAACTCTACTCCTCCCATGCTAGTTTAAAAAATATGTAAGATTGCAACTGACTATAATACCTTAAGTAAATATGGCTTCCTATATACCTCACAATTGTGTGTGGTTATGTCAGGACTGAAAACGCTTGTTCTAGAGTACTTAATATACCCATTTATACTAGTTACTATCTTTGCAACAAATAGAATTAAACTGATAAATTTGATCAAAAGAAGATAGAACTACAGGAGCACCGTGGCTACTAATAGGAATATCAGTTTGGCAAGTCTTTGAATTGTTTTATTTTACTAAATTACTCTTAGAAGTTTGATGCTGTTACATGTTTTAGTATGTTTGTTGTAGTATTGAAATTAAATACACAGACATAGAGACTGTACAAAGCCATCTTCATGAGCATGAAACTTGTGCCCTCACAGGACCCCATGCTGGAAGGGTTGTGCTTAGGATTTAATGCTCTGAGATTGCCGTCTTGAAATGTTTAGTAATTTTATCTTTGAATTTGTGTAAGTGAAAGCAGATTGGACAATGCAGCATGTGCTTGTCTTGGAGCCTTGGCTCACCCACACGTCCTGCTCTCCCTGTCTCCCCACAGTGGGTTCTCAGCAGCCCTCTTCCCACCTCCTGAGGCCCCCAAACGCCCTTTCTCCTTCCTGCCCCTGGACTCTGCAGCCCTCCAACTGGATGGCCAACCAGGTGCACAGGCAGAAGAGAGAAGGGAGAGGGAGGGGGCCAGCTTTCCACTATCACCCTCGGACTCTGGCAGGAGCCCCTGGCAGCAACATGAACAAGGTTGGGAAATAGCGCACAGCCCTGACTTGGGGCGAGGGGAGCAGTGGCTCCTCTCGGACTGGCAGTGACACGGAATGTTTGGCAGGTGACTTGATGGGAGCCTCTTGCCAACTCCTGATCTAGGAGCCAAGTGGGTTCCTGCACAAAGGTTGCAATCTCTTAGAAGTTGCCTCTGTCATGGGTTGGGACATTGGGCCTGTGGGGATATTTGCTTCCTTGCCCTCACTGATCAAGACACTATAAATACTGTATAAATACATAGGCAATAATAAATGATGAATGTGATATAGAAAAATATTCCAAGGTCTAGCCTTAAAGTGAAAAAATATTTTATAAAGAAAGATGAAAATGAATTGTCTAGAAAAACTAACTTCTAAGAATATATTTTAGTATACTATTGAGATGTGATCTAATTAATATGTGGCAGAATGTAACTCATTCTTGTGCTATTGAGTGACTAACCCCATTGGGAGTTTACAAGCAAGTAGCACACCTAGATTGTAGCTGATTACTTCAATCATTATGATCAAAACAATTTGGGAACCATCGTGATGTTGTATATCATAAATTTGTTAGTTTCTGGTATTTTAGGAATTGCCTATTTTAACCCCTAGACCAAAAAGTAGAGGTAGTATAAAGGAATAAAAATTTTCCCCCTTGTGAGCTGGCCGAGTGGCACGCTGGTTAGGAGTTGGTTTGGGACGCCAGCTCTGTGCAGCAGGGCCTTGATTCAGATCCCACATGAGGGCCAGTGACACTGCGCCCTCTACAGCTAAGATGGTGAACAACAGCTCAACCTGGAGCTGGGCTGCCGTGAGTCGCCGACGACAGCATAGGCTGCAGCCCCTGCTGCAGTGGGCTGCCATGGACTACCGTGTGTGGCTGGCAGCTGGCATGAGCTGCCAAGAGCCGCTGTCCGATGGCCGGCAACCAATTGCCTCACCCAGGAAGAGCACAATGATAATATCAACATGGGCCAATGAAGAAACATCCTCCACAACTAGACTGAAGAACAAAAGGAGAGCAACTTGTCTGTTCGCCTCCCCCAATTCCCCAATAAAATCTTTAAAAAATTTTTCCCCCTTGTGAACCAGGAAATTAAGCCTCATGTCACATCATTCACTGTGACACTCCCCTCTCCCCCCAAGCCTAGAACTTTAGGTCTTCTCCAGGAAAAGTATACCAGGAATAGCTGCAATACTTTACCACAAAATACAATAAGATTACGGTTTAGTATAAGAAATATAGAAAGAACTAGTTAATAATAAACTGTAAAAAGACAAGGAAAAGGAACCTGAATAAGTATTCAAGAGAAATTGATATAAAAAAATAGATCCCAATTTTGGTTGATTCTTTCTTTCCTGGCAGAATAAAATTGAGAATACAAGTGATATGTAGTGAAATGTAGGGAGTTTACTAGACTGTATCTGTAGAAGGGCTTAATTAACTTAAATATTAAGAGTGGTATTTAACTTTAATATTAGACTATCGCCAAATCAAAGACAGTAGGAATTTTAGAGATACTCTGGCTCTCTACAGAGATGAAAAAATCATGTCCAGTGGGTTTAAGTGATGAGGCAAAAGGCCACAATATGGGAGTCAGAAGGAACTATACAGAACTTATATCTGACTCCTGGCTCAGTGTTCTTCCAATTGTTATTGCTTCACCTTCCCCTAAACAAAGGTCTTCCTACAATTCCTAGTAAAATCTAATCTTGACATGCATATTTTAGTTGTAGCAGGCTATGATGAAATGTTTAATGAGGTTTTGAACCACACTGCCTAATGAAAAAGTATTTTAAATGCAATAAGATGCTATCTCAGGTTTTAAATTTGTAGCACTATTTTTAATTAGTAAATTTAGGTAGTGTTTAGGGAGGATATTTAACCATTATTTTTGGCTTCAAATAGGAAGTGGTGAATACTTTTTGGATGGTTTATTGTACAAACTAATTTTCTGGTATTTAATATGTAAAATATTAATTTTTTGAAGGAAGAGGAAGAAAGTGAAACCTTTGAACTGAGCAGGGAATATGAAGAATTAATCAAATTGAAAAGGAGCGGCTCTATTCAAGCTAAAAATCTAAAAAGCAAATTTGAAAAAATTGGACAATTGTCTGAAAAAGAAATACAGAAAAAGATAGAAGAAGAACGAGCAAGAAGAAGAGCAATTGACCTTGAAATTAAAGAGCGAGAAGCAGAAAACTTTCATGAGGTACACTATTTTATATTTAACATAGTTATGGTACAGATGTATATATAACTCAACAGAAATAACACTGGCTTTGAAATGTTTTGGTACAGTTAACCATAGGTGTGTATATAATTGGGAACTAAATAGCAAAAGCATATTAAGATCTTCAGAGACTGAAATTTTTCCCCCACTCTAGCAAAAAATAGTTCAAAAGTATTTTTGGCACAAGTTTTAGTTTGAATCAGTAGAACCAATGTATATTTGAATTAAAAAGAACTTAAGAGATTATTCATACTTACTTAAAGATGAGGCCAATAAACCCTATATGACCTTCTCAAAGTCATGCAATAATTCAGTGGCAGAGCCGAAATCTTAGTTCAGATAACATGAATTTAATGTAAAATGAGTCAATCATTAAATGACCTGCAGTGTCCCTTCCAGTTTAAGGACTAGTTCCATGGTTATGAATATTGGTCACTAAATGACTTGCAATTTAACAGCATTTAACATCAATATTACTCTAAAAATTCATTTTCATCAAATATTCACTAGTAAAACAAGTGTGGGAAGCTGGGAGGGCCTTCTGAGATAATAAAAAGAAATGTGCAAATTCTTGGGTCTATAAGCAATTCATTATTGAGGCAAGCAGAGTGCAAGAACAGCAAAAGATTAAGATACAAGCACAGGCAAGATGATCACGGAAAGTCTCAGATGCCATGTTAAGGAACTTTATTGGGGTGAATTGGAGGGATTTTAAAAACATGAGGGATGGTATCAAGTGGGCATCTTTATAGCTAGATCATACTGAATCTAAAGATGGTTTTAGATTGATGCATTAAAAAATTGTTTGAATGCCTGCTGTGTTCCAGGGTCTGTTCTGGACATTGGGACTAGCGTTTGAGCTATATTTGTATAAGGGAAAAGCAGTCTGAAACATAGGTACTGAACTCAGATGAGAGGCAAGAGCTATGGATTGTTAACTTTTATGGATAGTATTTGAAAATATAGAATTAGATAAAGTCCATCTTGAAAGAATTGATAGTTTGAAGGTGAATAAAATCTTAGAGAACACCAACATTTAATGGATATTTGGCCATAAGATCAGTTGATTCTTTAGAGATAAATATCACAGATGGTAAAGAAAAGTTCCATAAGCATGCACTTGCTTCCCTTTTTCGGTTAAAGGTAATGAAACTTCAAGAGCAGGCATACTTAGCCCTACAAAATATTAGGTAAGAAGAGAGCATTTGAAATCTTGCTTCCCAACATATGTTGTAAGTTTGGCTCAAATAAACTCATAAAAATTATCTCTAAAATAAATGAAGTGGGTGACTTCTTGTTTTATCACTATTATACGCTCTTTTGTATAAAAGGATATGAGAGTAGGACATGGCTGATCTCCTACAATCCATAGCATCCAACCAGAACAACTTCCCAGTTTAATTCCTCCTTCTACATTCATTAGAACTGAGGTGCAATACCTCAAACTGATGTAAAACACCCATGAATCACGATTTTTTTTATATAGGCAACTATTTTACAGCTTGTTTCAAAATTTCATTTAGTTGGATGTGGTACCCTGAAGCAAGTTGTTCCTCATCCTCAGTTCTGTAAAATAAAAATGGTGAGATCTCTAAATAGACCCACAAAAACCGGTTTTGAAACCACGTCAACTATGACCAAAGTACTTTAGAAACCGTGAATTAGCTATCTACATGACCCCACTGTACTAAAACTGCTCTCAGAGGCCATCAGTGATCTCATCACCAAATTGATTTTATAGATTCACAGCATTTGAGTTAAAACTCTGCTCTTAAATTACTTTTAATTTCCATGGCTTCCAACTCTTACCCCGTAAATAGACTCACTACCATTCATCACCTCAGTCATTTCCCCGTTTCAGTCATTGCCTCTTAAATTGTTTGCCCATTTATTCTACCTGCACTCTTCTGTGCCATTTAACCATCACTAATTTGCCGGAATTCACCTCAAAGACAGTTATTAACTAAGGAAATCATGAAATGGGGAATAAAAACAAATTGCATTTTCTGTATTATGTGGTAGGGTAAAGAATGACATGGAAAATCTTGTGTTAGTTGTTACAATGTATCATATTCCTACCCTTTTCTGTTATTCAGTGCAATCAAGCTATCAACAAGCACTGATTGCAAATAAAGACATTGGGATTCCTGTGATATTGTGTTATCTTTACATTGGGAGAAAAGGACTCCATTTGTTAAGAGAATGTTTCACAAAATTTTTATCTTTCCCGAACTGAGGGATAGTGAAAATCTGGAGTGTAGCACAAATATATGTACAAATAATTACTCTGTAAATGACACTTTTAGGACTATTAACAATTTAGCTCTTGGTAATTTTTGGAAAATCAGCAATTTTTATTCTTGGCCCACTTTTGTAAAGGAAGAAGATGTTGATATCAAGCCTGCAAAAAAAAGTGAGGCTCCATTTACCCATAAAGTGAATATGAAGGCTAGATTTGAACGAATGGCTAAGGCAAGAGAAGAGGAAGAGCAAAGAAGAATTGAAGAACAAAAGTTACTCCGCATGCAGTTTGAACAAAAGGAAATTGATGCAGCACTACAAAAGGTCAGACTCACATATCCTTTATTTTCCAAAGACACTCTTAAAAACCAGTTTTATATGAGGGGTAAAAAACATTTCATACTGCATTTTCACTGTACCTTTTCTGTTTAGATATTTATAGACAAATACCAGTGTTACAATTGCCTACAGTATTTTCAGTACAGCAAAACGCTGTGCAAGTTTGTAGCCTACGACTAATAGGCTATACCATATAGCCTGGGTGTGTACTAGGCTATACCACCTAGGTTTGTGTAAGTGCATTCTATGATATTCACACAATATTGCCTAACGACGCATTCCTTAGAACATGGCCCTGTCGTTAAGCGGCACTTGACTGTACTTACCTGCTTTTTACTTTTGGGGAAAAAACACATTTACCTTCAAGATTCTACTACTAAACCACTGTCCTGAAAATGCTACTACTATAGCATAAATGACGATTTATTTTATATAGAAAAGAGAAGAGGAGGAGGAAGAAGAGGGTAGCATCATGAATGGCTCCACTATCGAAGATGAAGAGCAAACCAGATCAGGAGCTCCGTGGTTCAAGAAGCCTCTAAAAAACACATCAGTTGTAGACAGTGAGCCAGTTAGATTTACTGTTAAAGTAACAGGAGAACCCAAACCAGAAATTACATGGTGGTTTGAAGGAGAAATACTGCAGGATGGAGAAGACTATCAGTATATCGAAAGAGGAGAAACTTACTGCCTTTATTTACCAGAAACTTTCCCAGAAGATGAAGGAGAGTATATGTGTAAAGCAGTCAACAATAAAGGCTCCGCAGCTAGTACCTGTATTCTTACCATAGAAAGTAAGAATTAATCACTTTTAGTCTAATACTTTTATTCTATTAAATTTTTTTTCCTTTAAAAAGAATCACTTTTCTTCTTCTCTTTTTTAGCTGACGACTACTAGGCTTCCCTTCCCTCTCCCTGGAACACACTCTCTCTCCAACTTTCTTACTACATCCATCTTTTCTGTGGAGGGGCCAAAAAAGGAAACCAGAAGTGCTACTATGTTGACTTCTTATTCCTTTCCTAACAGTCTTCAAAACACAAGCTCGTCTCAAGAATACCTTCTTCCTTTCCAATGAGCACCAGATTCATTGCCATATTATACAATAGAAGTTAATGCGTATTTAACAGAGAAAGTAGGAAATTTACTCAATTATTATATCAGAACCTATTACAAAGGCTATGTATTTCCCATAAGTTTACAGCAATTACTTTTTAAAATATCATAAATTAAACCGTATTTTGCATGAAAGAATGCCATTTGTAAGCTATTTATACCTAAAATTAGTCTGAAATACCTGAGACTTAATCAATTTGGAACCTATCAATTTCAGTGGGATTTTTTCCCTTAGTAGTACATCATTTTGGTAGTTGTAGTTTCAGTCTTTCTGAAGCAGATCTTTGAGGGAGGAGGGTGTCATTCCTTTTATGGGAAAGGGGAAGCATGGAGAAAAACAAAAAACTGAAGTAAGACTTTTAAGAAACAATTGCCAGAGAAATCTGGATGGAAACCACTGCCTAAAGAGTTTTGAGTGTTGAGAATATTAAATGTACTTTTTAAATGTGTGTAATATATATTCAAGCTTATAAAGCAAATTTATGTTGTGACCTTGCCTGAACAAATTATATTTTAATGAAAGACTTTGTATTAATAGTTCATACAGGAGAAAACTTTCAACATAACTGAAGATTTCAAGATGTAAGAGGTTAAATTTAGGAGAAAAATGGCACAATCTTCAGTTTTAAATTCTGGTATTTAAAATGAGTTTGTAAATAATTAACTTCATGTTCTATTATCAAGTTATTTTATATTTTAATTTTCTGGAAGACAATTTTATTTTACAATGTAAACCATAATAAAGTAACTTCTATATTAAAAAGGCTTTCAGTATTTTAGAAAAGAGACAAAACACTCCCTTATAATATTCATCAATGTACATTTATTTTTTTATTGCAAAAACCATAATCAATACAAAATTACAGCAATCATGTACCCTTTTACATACAATGTCATTAAAGCAAACTCTAAACCACAGTTTGTAAAGTATTCAATTTACCTCAAGTCCAAGCTGCATCTCCCTAAGACACTGTTCCCATCACAGTAGCCATTTTAAGCCAATCTTCTTTTTACACACGGGTAGTTTCTGTAGAGAACACTTTTCTCAGGACGAAAATGCATCGAGCATGCATAAGAAAAAATATAGATATATGCGCAAACACATTTAAGAGTTTCTATAGGGGTGTCAATGAAGAAAATAAAACCCTGGGATTTATTTGCTTCTTAGAAGCACCAATTTAAAAATTCCCTCTGAAGTTTATACTGTGGCAAGAAAACTCAAGTGACTAAACAAAAAATAAGGTTATTTTCAGAGTCACAATTATCTTTAACTAGGTATTGTTAAAAACACATTTTAAAATGAGGCAAAATCTTCAGAAAGTAAAAATAAGACATCCTCACTGATCAGTAATTTCGACATCCCTACTCTAGACAACAGATAAGTTTGCAGACAGAACTGATTCTCCTGGCAGAGTAATCACAAATGAAATGTCATCTGTTCTGCATATATTTCTATATCCCTCTTAAGGTACTCTGCTACTCCTATCCAAACCCACCTTTATGAATTAACTACTACCAAGGTATTTGTCTAAGGATATAGTTTACAATGTTTATAAACAACTAGTATTAAATCACTAGTTTTAGTATCAAAACCATTTTCATTAAAAATAATAGCATACTTCTAAATTTCTAAAAGAAACATCAAACCATTAAGAATTCAAAGTATCACCACACTAAGATAGCTTGAAAAAAAACAAACACATTGTCAAGTTTTTTAAGTGCTAAATAAAATAAATCAGTTCAATTTCAATCTAAACATTGTTTCTACCAGTCCTAACATCCATTGCATTCAAATCAACTGGCTCACCTTTTCTGCTTTCCATTTATATCAAGGTTAAGATTAGCTCCATTTAAAAATGCTTGCAATATCAGTGAAGGCTTGTGGTAATGAATAAAAAAATTCGTGATAGAAACAATGCCCCAGTATCTATTGGCACTCATCTATATTTTCTTTTATAAAAATGCAAACTATGGCTAACCAAAACTTGACAAGCTCTTAAGGTTCAAAGAGTTCCTTTATATTATCAATCTTAACATACCTATCATTGACTATTAAAATACATACACACACAGAAATGTGGTGCAGTAACTACGTAACTTATAAAATTTAACAGTTCACGGAACATTTAAGAGCAACTTTAAAATGAAAAGTGATCAAAAGCAGGTACATTACACCCTATACCATATTATGTATGGGAATACATTTCATTTTCTCAATTATGATTCGCCAATTTTACCTTCTACATTGAGCCCTTCTATGGTCCATGCTCATCGGCTCACCAATGGCATACACTCAAAGGATTCCTCTTTATGGGTAACTATCTCAGGACCTGATTTTATGAGCTATGATTTGGTGCTTGCAGCATCTTCAGCACTGTGTGTGAAAATGAAGGCAGTATTTTTGAATATTTTTCTTTGTTGTAGAAATAAGCAGGAATTTTAAAAGGATCAGCACATTTTAGAAACTGATTAAACAAAACTGATATGATGCTGCTTTAATACATTCATTTTAACTCAAAATATGTACCAGTTAAAATCATCTATAAGAACACACAAACATTTTAAACTGGCAAAAAATAAAATAAATGCAGCGTCAGTTATTAAAGTATTATAAATCAGAGAAATATTGGTTGCTATACAGATTATGAAAGGTTATTTGCTATACAGTTAACATTTCACTGATGCACATGCCTTTTATCAAAACATACTGCCAGTATTCTTTGTAATTTTTTCCTTTTTCAGTGTATATAAAAGTTACAAAAACTGAATTATCTAAAAAAAAAGTCATAATAAACTCTCATCGTAATGTCCTTACTGAATGACTGTAGTTCAAGAGTAAGAAAAAAATAAAGACTCCATAGCTTTGGAGGGCAAAGACAACGTCCTGTCAATCTTAAACAGACTGTGAAGGCTGTTGAAGTTTCTGACCAAGTGATTTCCTAAATCTTACTGTCTATGTAATCATCCTGTCTTAATTTTAACAATTCTTCTATATTTGGGAAAAGATTACAAGAAGTTTGGATGTAGTTCAATTACAGCAGCAATCTACTCGTCATTTCTTTTTTGTTTTAATAAAAAAATTAAAATAATAAACATTACCCAGAAATGTAACCAGTTGTTTGAACAACTTACAGACTTTCCACTGAAAAGGTAGCATAACAAAATACAGTTTGGGGAAGCAGCAGCAGATTGCTCTTGAATACACAACCACAAAAACCTCACAGGGACAACATTAATGTACTGAAATATTTATTTATATATGTCCTTAGGTTGTGCTTACCTGTTGCTTTTTGCAGCAGAACCTAAGGTGGAAGGTCTGGGAAGGCACTGTGAAGTATAAATAATTGCACTGTTTGCAATTAATAAAGATTTTAAACCTTAAATGAATCAAAATCAACAGCCTCCAATTTGTGAGTTATGATATTGAATCCAACTGAACTATTTCTTCAATTTAATTAATAAATGCACCACTTTCCTAAAAGGTCATCTATAAAACAGTATCATGCAAAATACTGAAATTATTCATGTCAATACCCTATTCTAAAAATAACAGATAACTCCTTAACTATAAAACTCCAAACTAGAACTACATATCCATATCTAAATAAGGGTAAGGGAAGTCACTCTAAGTTCTATAAAACAATCAAAAACATTTCAAACTATCTACAATAAACTGTACTGCTAATTTTCTGCCCTATAGGTAATCTCAACATTTATGTCCTTGCACATCTTCCTTTATAGTATATTCAGAACAACAAATGGTGCTCCCCAGCAATGAAAGAATATATATTTATGAAATGGTGTTAAAACAGCTACATTACTTAATATATTTGCAAACTGAAAACCACTTCTGTCTGACACATATCAAGTCTTTCATTATTAATATAAGATACGCATATTTACACTGAAAAACAATATATTTTAGGAGCACCAATGAGTAATACTATTCAATTTTGTTAATGATCAGTTTTCTTTAGCTATAGCTAAAGCATAATCAAAAATACTTACCCATTAAGCTCACTTAAAAAACAATACAGACCTATGTATTACTCTATGTTAAATTAAGAAGCAGTTATGGTTTTCCAAGATATCAGCACTGTATTCCAACATAATATTCACACAAAGTATGGCATTTACGTTATGTGGAACATTGACAAAAAGATACTGTTGCAGTTCATCAATTTGTCATTCTGATGTACTTACAGTGCAATGCTCCTTGAAGGAACACAATCAAGGATGATACACAGCACAGTCCTCCTCACCCCTACAGAGCTAGTTCTATACTGGCTGGATCAAACCTGCACTTCAACAGACAATGGCAAGACAGACTGTATTTGCATGTAGTCTAATATATTAAAATGCAAAGAGCCAACAAATATGCAAAGAGTAAAACAATGGATTTCAACAAAATATCAGAATTTCAGCATGAGTGTTATAGAGTAATAAAATGATTTCAAATACATAAAAAATTAAGTTGATTCAATGACTGGATTTGTGCATTTACAAAACAAAGCTTATCTATACTGCAAAAAGAAAAAGAAAAGAAAAAAGCTTGAACATTTCCATATCCCAATAATGTTTCAATGGCAGATGTAGCTATATTTTTGCATACTATTCACTTTTCTAGCCTAAATTTAGAAAGAAACATACTAATATTGTATACATTGAAAGAGTTGCTTTACATGAAAAAACTGTTCTTATTAGACTACTCATATTCACTATCCGAAAACTGTTTAAAATTAGTTATGCTGAAACAGTCTTGGAAATCAAGTAATTATCAAATTAAGAACAGAAAGGTTAACTGTTATAGCAGCAGTACAGGTCTGAAACAGTGGTCATGTATAAAAGGAAATTTCACTGTTAATGCAATGGAAGTATGCCAAAAGATCATTGTACACACATGCAGTTTTTAATCAAACAGAAGGAAAAAAAATGAAGATATCAGGATTACTTGTGCTGAAACACCCAAATACAATAAATGGAAAAGGTCCTCCAATCTACTACTATACTGCAAGGGGGAAAAAACATGCCAGTGTTTAAAAACTCAATTAATATTGCATGGGGAAAGCTTATATATTTGTGTATATGTATCTTAATTTATCATTGCTAAGAAATTATGAATCTTTTAAATACCCACATATCCAACTTACCGACACAGGAGGTTTCATATCATTTATTGTAAAGCACAAAACAGGCATTTTAAAAGTGAAAGTATACATTGAAAAAGTACATTTATATCACAAAGCATTGACCACATAATAGTTGCAAATACATTTGCTGGAATGTGTACATCTACACTAAATACTAAAAACAAACCAATTTTCATTTCTACACAGAAATATTAACCTCCTATCAGTAGCGATAGATATTTTGTACATTTTCAAAAAAAAAAAAAAACCACTATTTTAAACCAAAAACAAAATTAAGATCTTCATCAAGTCGTCTGCATCCATATATTTAACAAAGGTATTTTTCCCTCACACAATGAAGCAAATACTGTATTGTCCACTTCTTATTATTGGCCCTGTGCAGAAGAGATACATAAGAAATACACAAAAAGTTAAAGAAAATCCTTTAAATGGAGCTAACTCAGGAGTGAATCCTTTAAGAAAGAAAAACTGGTTAATATAAATGATGGTGGCTTCTTGCATGATTTGCAAATCCCTGGGGGAAAAAAATTTATTTTTAAAATCAAAGGCATTATAGAAATATTCAGCACTCAGATGCCAGAAAGCATTATAAAAAACAAACGAACCAAAAAAACCCAAACAATACACCACAGTCCTTCATTTAGTTATACTTTGCCAGATAAAATTTAAAAAGGCAAACATAATCCCAAACAGACAAAACAGTAAACATGCAGAAAACATGACTGGAGTTTTCAACACATTAGCAAATTTATTATACCTGAGGAGCTGGAGGGTGCTGTGGCATTCCCTGGGGACTTGTCTGGGCATAGTAGGCTGCTTGCTGTCTATAGTACTCAGCCCAGGCTGCGCTATAGTCTGGCTGACCACCTGGCGGGGCACCAGTAGGAGCAGGAACTGCTTGACCTTTAAGAAAACAAAAACACTTTGTTGCTGTAACCACAATTCAAAGCCCCAAAGAATCTCATTTCTAATAAAGACAATACCTTGCTTCTTGTAATATTCCTCCCAAGCCTTTGAATAATCCTGTGTCTGCCCTTGTTGACCTAAAAAAAACCCCCTAAATTTTAATACAAAATTATATCCACTGTAAGTACAGCTTATAAAGACAAAAGCACAGAGGAACAGAATTGCTCCTATTTAAAGTATTCACTAGTGTCAGAAAACTACTCTGTAATAATAAAAAACAATATCCCTCCCCCCAAAAAATCAAGATTTCTATTTTCTTTTTGCCTTATACTAATCACCACTATTAAAAAAAAAAAACCTACACAGCTTTAACTAAAAAAAAAGGTAAAGATTTAGGCATGTTGGTTCCATTACAGAATTTAAAAACTATTAATGTTCTAAACTGAGTTTGTAAAGTACTTCATGGCCAACTATAATTTTAAAGAAAATGAAAAAAGTACT